CACGTCAGCCTCATGACGCATTTCAACCACAGAAGCAAAAGCTCCTGAAGGCAGCAGTTAGGCTGACCCTGTTCTGCTTTCAGGGTCCGATTCATTACTCTATGAAATGACAGGTCAGGACTGGTATAACCGAGCGGTGACCCAAGCTCCTGGACCTCTCTGCCAACTACACCAACAGAAAACAGGAGCGGGTGCGTCGGAGGGGGCTCAGACGGCGGCTGCAGACACAGCAAAAGCAGTGAGTCTTCAGTCACCTTCCTTGCTCCTAGAGTTTGTTGCCCCTTTCAAAAAGCTGGCGCCCCTTCCAAACCTGCACAAGCACAGGTTTCTCTTCCAGGCCCCAGGGCAGTCCGGCCTCCACATCCTCCCCCTCTTGTTTCTGCCGAGGCTGTTAGCTGTGATCCAAACTGAAACAGGGTTCTTCTGCAATATGGACTTTATTCACCAAAACCTGAACAGAGAGCATTTTTCCTTCGAGATATAGTCAGTAACTCCTTCCCTTTACAACTGGATAGTATTCCCCTACTGCATAGGGATTTGGCAAGGAGCAATTTAACTTCTTTTTGTAAAATGCTCGACTTGATCAGATCAGGCGTCACATAAAATTAGAAAATATTTTTCCTGTGGAGATACAATTTGCTCAAACGAAAGCATCGCCAACTGATTGTCTTCTAACCTCAAAAGACAAATCAAGCTTTTCCTGAGCAATGAGGCAAGTTGTCCTAACTGATCTTTGGATTAAGTTGTGCAATAACATCTGCGCTTGCGAAGTATAAATGCTGATGTTTTCGCAATTTCTAGAGAGCCATCCGAGGTGAAACAGACCGAAACGCCGAGCTATTTCTCCTGAAAATTACCATACATCAGTGCCGTGGACAGAGCTGGCGTTTTTACACAAATAGTTTTCACTACCAGGTTAATGAGCCGCCAATAAACAGATCGGCCTGAGCTGAAGCTCCCTCCTCACCTGGCTGCAGTGCCTCTGGATATAGAGCTGGGTGTTGGCTGGGGAAGAGTCAGAATGTCCTCATCACCCCCGTCCTCGTAGAAACTGGCAAGCGCAATCTGGAAAGGAACAGCGCAGGAGCGTTTCAGGATGAGAGCAAACATCCCAGAACAATGGAAAAACCACACACAAATAACACCGCTGCAGCTCTGTCACGTTGGACCTCCGAAGGCACATCAGCACTAAGATCATTTCACGTCATTTCCCCTTCTGGAGGTCGTAGCAAAGACGAGGCTTTGCCAAATTCTAACGTTTGGCTTTGTTATGGTAGGATGCTCCCCACCCACAGCTATGCCAGAGCTGCTTCCCTGACCGGAGGCCCTAATTCTGCAATATTTCTGCAGGGGTTACGCTAAAATTACTGTTCTGAAGCAGCTGCTTCTGTGACATCCGTGGGCAGACTGTGAGCATAACACGGCCAGATGATTTAAGGGGGACGGGAGAGGGTCAGAATGGTGGCTGATGTCCCCCTTATAACTTGGGGGTGCTGGGACTGCTGCTGACAGTGCAGACAGCAGAGCACCAACAACCTCGCGAGCACTCAAGGAAAACCTACGCAAACCCGGCAAAACCCAGGAACCCCCGTTCCTCCCCGCGCTAGAAATGAGCTGTGGTCAGATTAACAGGAGAACCAGGACGGGGCTCGGCCCCAACCAGCCACGGACCCGCGGCCACGGCTCAGCCCGACCTC